GGAGACACGAAGGAGGGAGAATACACGATGTGTTCTCAGGACAGAGAGTAGAGTGGAGCATATATCAGAAGGAGTACAAAGTAAAAATGTTGGAAATACAGAGAGTGGCACAGGACTTCTCTAGAGTGAAAGGGCCTGGGTTCAAATCTCACCGCTGGTATTTACTACCTATTTGACCTTGGGCACTGGGCTTGAGTTTCCTCATCTGCAAAATGAGCTAGAGAAAAAAAATGGCAAACCACTTCAGTATCTCAGCCAGGAAAACTCCAAACGAGGTCACAAAGAGTCAGACACAACTGACATGACCAAGTAACATCATTATTCTGACAGTGTCATGAAGGATGGATTAGATAAAGTGGAGGCAGGAAGGCTATTATAACTGTGCATGTAGGTGATATCAAAGGCCTGAGTGAAGGTATTTACAATGTAAATAGAGAAGAGGGGACAAATAAGAAAAGTTCTGGAGACAGAATTGACTGGAGTTCATAACTTATTACACACAAAAGGTGAGAGAGAGAGAAAAATAATTAAAAAAAAATAACTCCAAGAATTTGAACATGGGAGATAGTCTAAAATACTGAAGTCTGAAAGAGGAACAAATTTGGAAGGAGAGATGAGAGACAATATGATATGGTACTGAATTTGAAGTTGAGAGACCAGGAGGAAACATAGCTACACGGACACAGTTCATCTGAAAAAGAGCTAGGGGTTTCAGTGGACTGCAAGTTCAATATGAGTGGCATATTGATATGATATGGCAGCAACCAGAAAAGATAATAATAATTAGCAATTATATAGCACCTCAAGGCTTACAAACAGCTTTAGCAGCTATGTGTGCATATGTATGTATATATATATATGTATATGTATGTATGCACACGTACACACATATACAGATACATTTATAGATATATAAATAGTGTGTGTATAGGTGAATGCAATTATCCCCATTTTACAGATGAGGAAACTGAGGCTGAGAGAGGTTAAATGACTTCCCTAGGGTTATGAAGCTAGTATGTATCTGAGGCAGGGTTTCAGAGCACTGGGACTGAAACCAGAGGACTCATGGCTAAGACCTGCTTTTTACTCACTGACTGACTCTGGATACATTTTTCTATCATTCTGGGCCTCAGTTTCCTCACCTGTGAAATGAGAGCTTTGAACTAGAAGATCTCCAAGGTCCCTTATAAGGACCATGAATACTGTGAATTCATGTTCTGCTGTAATTAGTATTGTCGTTATTTTCATTTGATGAAAGCTGTAATAGAAAATTCTCCATGGGACCATGGGAAGAACTTATCCATGGTTTTACAACTGCGCCACCTAGCTCCCCCATAATGTTATCCTTTATATGTGAATATATGTGTGTATGTATGTATGGATTGCTGTGGGTGTGTCTGACTTTTCAGTAGGGGATCTAGGCTCCTAGTGCGTCATTCCAACCAACATTCCTTGGTGATACTGGAATGAAGCACAGGGAATCTAATTTCCCTACTGAGGCAACCCGAGTGATGAACCCAGCAGACAACCCAATGACTAGGTACAGAATAGGAAGAAGTAGGTACCAGGAGCCTCTGCAAGTCTCACAAGCAGCTGCCTCTCTGCCAGAACTATACAAATGTGAATTATTATGATCAATAATTATGCCTTTATCTAAGTCATTAATAAAAAATGTTAAACAGTATCAGGCTACACACAGATTCCTAGAGCTCTTTACTGTAGAAATCTGCCTGGCTGATACAAAACGTGGTTTGTTCATTCATCCAATAATGAATCTAATCTAATTCTACTATCATCTAGCCCGGATCTTCCTATCTTCTCCACCAACAACATAAGAAATTTTGCCAAATGTTCTGCTAAAATTGAGAAAACTATATCTAAAGAATTTCTGGATCAATAGGTTTAATAATCCTTTTAAAAGAGAAAACAAGGTTAATCTGGTGCAACATGTTTTTTGATGAAGCCATGCTGTTTCTTGGTGATAACTGCTTCCTTTTCTAAATGGTCACTAACCATCTTTTCAATAACCCATTCTAACATTTGGCCAGGGATTTAAGTCAGGCTTACTGGCTTATCATTTACAGCAGCCACCCTCTTTTCTTTTCTGAAAATCAGAACACATGTTCTCCTCCAATTCTGTAGTTCCTGGCCTTGCTCTCCAGCCTACTTTCTTACCTTGCTCCCTTCTGCCTTTCTTTCTTTTCTTCCTTTCTTTTATCCCTCCCTCTCTCTTTCTTCCCTTCCTCCTTCCTTTCCCCCTTTCTCCCTCCCTCTTTCCTTCCTTCCTCCCTTCTTCCTTTCCTCCCTTCCTCCTTTCTTTTCCCTTTTTCTCTCTCTTTCACTCCTTCGCTCTTTTTACCTCCCCCCTTCCTCCTTTCAACCTTTTCTCCCTCCCTCCTTTTTTCCTTCCTTCTTTCCAGGTCTCTCCATCTTACCTAGGCTAGTAGTACGGTGGCTCCTCACAGGCCCTATTCCACTGCTGATCCACAGAGAAGCTCTGACAAGATACTCTGTTTTCTGATCAGGACAGGTTCATCCCTCCTTTAGACAACCTACTGTCCCTGTACTCCCAGGAGGCTTGCCATATTGGTGCTGGATTTACTGTGGACACACGTGGTCTGTTTTGGCCCTACTTCTGTTCTGAACTCCCGAGCTCCGATCCAGCTGAAGCCTCAGTCTCCCCTGTAGCATGTATGTACCACCCCCACCCCCAAACCTGGGCTCCACAAACGGTGACAGGAGGCTCAGCAATTACATCTTCCAGTTCTTTCAGGTCCCAAAAGCTGTAGCTCATCTGGGCCTGGTGACCTGAACCTACCAAGAGCAACCAGATTTTCTCTTTTTTATCTATCTTGGCTATCACTTGTCTTCTATCAGCCATTTTCCTGTTTGTTCTTGATTACCTTGTGACTTCTCCCAATCATCTGCAATCACTGTCTTATCAGACATTAACAAACATTTTTTACTTACTTATAGGCCAGAAACCAGGCTAGGCCTTGGGAGACACAAACACAAAAGTGAGAGTTTCCGCCTTCAACAAGCTTATGTTCTATTCAGGGCATACCAAATGTTCATAAGTAAACAGATATAGGGTAGTGCAAATTTTAAGCCTTAATAGCTTAAAGCAATTAGTGTTAGTGCAGTTTTAAGTTACTAAAGCTTATAAGGAGTTGAGATATATTAACAAGGGAGGTAACCAGGAAGGGTCTATAGAAGGAGGTAACTGGGGCAGCTAGATGGTGCAGTGGATAGAGCAGTTGGCCCGGAGTAAGGAAGACTCATCTTCTTGAGTTCAAATTCAGCCTCAGACTCCTAGCTCTATGACCCTGGGCAACTCACTTCACCCTGTTTGCTTCAGTTTCTCATTTGTAAAAGGACTGGAGGAGGACATGACAAACCACTCCAGTATCTTTGCCAAGAAAACTCCAAATGGGGTCATGGAGAGTCAGACATGACTGAAAGGACTGAATAACAAAACCAGAAAGAGACGGCACTCCAGCTGAGCCTTGGAAGGATCTAGGCAGGGAGTTCTTAACCTGGGGTCCATGAATCCTGAAGGGATCTATGGAAAGATTTCAGGGGTTTTGTGAACTTAGATTAAAAAAAAAACACCACCCATTTATTTTTTACTAATCTGTAAAATCTAGCATTTCCTCCAATTATTTGAAAAAGATTCTTCTGAGAAGGACTCCGTTGGTTTTCCCAGGCTACCCAAAGGGTCCATCACAAAAAAAAAGGTTAAGAATCTCTTCTCCAGGGGTTCTGAGAAGGGAAGCAATGGCAGGAGAGGGATGGTATATGAGGCATGGAGACAGCCAGAGTAGAGGTGTCAAGGTAGGAGATCTGAAATGTTGTATAGGGAGAAAAATAAACAGTCCAGTCGGTTTGGGGCAAAGAGTGTAAAAAAGGAGGAATGGAGTAATAATGCAGGTTACTTATTGCCTATATGTATTTGGGTGAGTCACTTAACTTTTCTGGGACTCAGTTTTCCCATCTGAACAACCAGGGAGTTTCACAAGATGATCTCTGAGGTGCCTTCCAGCTCTAAATACCAAGACATTTGGGGATTAGCTGGGAAATGCCAGTTAGTAAACAATTAAGAGCTCAATTGTGAGGTCCAAGCTTAAAAATGAGTTCAGAGAAAGGGGATTTCCATGTGGGCTAGAGAAGGGAGAACTGGACTTAGGTGAATAAGGGGAACACTTGTAGAATAAGCAGGATTTGAATAAAGCAGAGAAGAGGAAGGCCAGCATTCCTGGTAGGCAGAAATAATCTAAACAAAAGCTGGGAGTGTTTTCCAGACAAGACCAAGTGGGACTTATCGTGTGCTGGAATATACTTATCTGTGGATAGTTAAATTTTAAAATAAGCCCCAGATCCTCTTCTCTATTGGAAAGAGGGAAAAAAACCAAACCATGGAATATTTCATTTTGCTGGTAGGGAATCTGGGAGTCAACGGGGTAGAAGAAGGGCCTTGGGGTAAGAACTGGGGCCATCCTGTTCTGCTTACTTTGTTGCTATCTCCTTCTAGTCTGGGGCGGCTCCTATATCTGCTGCTGTTCCAGTTTTTCCAGGTGTGTCTTCTACACACCTAACCAGGCTGCCTGAATCCTGGGCTGAGGCGGATGTGCAATGGTTAGCGCAGGCATGCAGCACCGTCTCTTTACAAGTCTAAACGTTTTTCCATAAGGAGATGCTTTGTCTCTATATGGACCTCAGACACTTAATAGCTGTATGACTCTGGTCAAGTCACTTCACCCAGTTTGCCTCAGTTTCCCCATCCATAAAATGAACTGGGGAAGGAAATGGCAACCCTCTATAGTATGTCTGCCAAGAAAACCCCAAACGGGGTTAGGAAGAGCCGGTCAGGGCAGGGATGACAACAGCACTACTTGTAAGGACGAACGACGCGGTGACCGTGAAGGGCCCCGGCCGTAGTAAGCGCGATGCAATCGTCGGTGTTATTATGAAGGCACGCAGAAGCACTCCGCAAACCTTACCTTTTACACGCCGGCGGTTTCTAGGCCACGGGGGGTGCCAGGCGCCACGCTGTGGGCTAGGGCCTGCCCTCGAGGAGCTTGCAGTCTACGGGGAGGCTGGTGCAAACACACGTACACGTGATTCCGGGAGATAGGACCGGCGGGAAGCCGGGGAACTTACGGGCGGACCCCTGCTGGGGCGGGGACGGCCAGGGCCGGGAGCCGAGGCTGAAGGGCGGCGGGGGCGGGGCCGGGACTCCCCTTCCCGGGCCCTGACCAGGGGCGTGGCCGGGGCGTGGCCCGTGTCCCTCGTGACTGTCCCGTCCGCGCTACGGCTGGCTCCTGAGCTCCGGGGGTCTGCGGAGAAGGACGATGTCTGGACGCCCCGCGCTGGGGGGCCTGGCCTGGGCCTGGGCGCTGCTGCTGGGCCTCTACACCCCCTCCCCCCAACCCGCTTCCGCCGACCCCTGCCCGTGCGACGAGCCCGCGCTCTGCCGCCCCGTGCGCGGCCGCCGCGACTTCGAGGTCAGCGGGAGGTCACGTGTCCCTCGGGGGGGGCGAGGCTGCGGGGGAGGGAGGAGGTGCGCTGGGAGCTGGCCTGCCCAACCCCCACCCCGCGTGTCGCAGAGGAGGAAACTGAGGCCCAGACTGGGAGGGCCCCCAGAAGCCACCCACACCCCCTCCCCCATCTCAGAGGAGGAAACTGAGGCCCAGAAAGAAATGACTCCCATTGAACATGATGACCAGTGGATGCCAACTATTGAAAGCGATTTTCATTGTAGAAGCAAGGAAACAGACCCAGGGAGCGGTCAGGGACCTTAGGAGGGATGCAGGGGACCCAGTCCTTCATTTAACACACTAGATTAGGAAAGGGGCTTTGGAATGTGCAGGTGACGGTCATCTGGTCTGGCCTCCTCATCTTATCCAAGAGGAGCCTGAACCCCAGAGAGATAAAGTGACTTGTTTGGGGTCCATCACCTCCCCCCACACACACACACACTCTGAATTTTAAACCCTGGTCTTGTGACTCCCAGTGTACCCTTCCCTACTCGGGAGCTGTGTCTCTGCCTCCATAGAGGGAATGTTTTCTTACGAATCCTCAATCTGTCTCAGCCTTCCATCCCCAGGTGACACTGAAGGAGGGGATGGTTGCAGGCAGATGACGATTCCAAAGGTTCAGTCTTTTGGATTATGTCATCGAGGCTGGTTTGTGTCTCCTCTCTGACAAGACAGCTAATTGGGTTACCTGAAGAATGAGGACCTGGTCTGGCAGCAGAACTCCAATGGTCCATGGGAAGGCGCAGTCTCCCTACCCCCTTCTTCCCCTCACCATTTATCCTGACCATGCTTTTCTGCTGCCCCAGTCTCAACTCCCTTCTCCCCAGCATCTGTATTTATTCCAGATTGGCTAAATTCATCCCCTGAATGCCTGGCTTTGGACGAAGACACCTCCCCTTATTGCTTAGGGTGTTGATGGATTGTCGATTCTGCCACAGGACAGCGTAGAGAACAGGTTCAAGGTTCAGGTCCCTGGTTGCGAATCCCAGCTTTGCCGGTGTCTGGGACCTTGGGCAAGAAACTAGACTCCTCTGGGCCCCCCAAGTCTCCTCATCCATAAAATGAGGCCACTGGACTAAAGGACCTCCAAGAACCCTTCCAGCTCCAAAGTTTATGATCCTAATGTGTGTCTCTCTAAAATACTCGAGGCTGGTACCAGGAATTTGTTATTCTCTCAGTGAGGTTGAAAGGCCAAGTCTGAAGGACAGCCTAGGGTAGAGATGTACCATCTAAGTAATCTAATATGACATTACCGAACATTGATTCTGTCAATGGGCATTAAAATCACCTGTAAACAAAATTTTTATAACTTGCTTAAGAGACAAGAGTTGGTGAATGTTTAACTATTACTGGAAACACTGTAGTCTGGGAAGCACAGCTTTATTAAATACTAAGTGATGTTGATCTGTATCATCAATTTCCCAGATATCAACTCCTTCTGGGTAACTTTTCCAGGACACTAAAAGGCCACTGACCCCAAAGCACATTTCATTAGTTTAAGCAGCAGTTGCAGGCTTCCTGAAAAAGAATAATTAAAATAAATGAAATTTATGTTTATGGTAAATTACTCTTTCCTCTTATTAGGTTCTTAATTTGAAGCCTTTAGTACCAGAATTAGATTAGACATTTCTCTTTTGTGTCATCCTTTTTCCTTCCAGGTTAAAATCAAACTCAGGTCATTTTTTTAAAGTTTTGTGGTATAAATTATCAGCCTTATCTTGTTCTCTTATCATGGGAGCACTTTTACTCTAGTTATGGTGCTACTCCCAGGTCCCATTATGGCCTTGAGTTTAGACAACCCTGGGTTTTGGAGGTGTGGTCACCTGAGTAAATACATACATATATACATATATTCAATTAATTAATTAATTGTATCATTTTAAAAAAATGTTTGAGTTCCAAATTCTCATCCTCTCTCCCCTCCCCCTTAGAAGGCAAGCAATTTGATGTCAATTAGAGCATATATATTTTAGAAAGGGACCAGCCTAGCTGAATATGGAAAGGGTGATCACCTGGTTGACCATATAGCAATGGATTTTTACAGCCCAGCATCCTCAAAGATCTTCCACTAAGTCAGTGAAGGATTGTGACCAGCGGAGGGAGTATGCACACCAGGGAAATCATATATCCTACAGGTATAAATTTAACCTCTTAAGTGCATTCCCTGCAATGGGTCTTAAAAAGTGGTGCACCATTATGGTTTCATTTAAGTTTGAATTATAATAAGTCTGTGGCTGTTCTCCTGATTAAAAAAAAAAAGGGGGGGGGACACAAAGGGACCACACTATGTAGCTTCCTATGGTAAGCTTGATTTCACTTTCTGGGAAAATTCTGATTAAAAAGATGGTTACTGGGAAAGCTAGGTGGCACAGTGGATAGAGCACCAGCTCAGGAGTCAGGAGGACTTGAGTTCAAATCCAGCCTCAGACATGTAACATTACTAGCAGTGTGACTCTGGGCAAGTCACTTAACCCCAATTGCCTCAAGAGGGGGAAAAAAAAGATGCTTACTGAATGGCAAGAGTCCACAAGGCTTCAATCAAGAGCAGGTCATGCCAGACTAACCTTTATTCCCTTTTTTGATAGGGTTATTAAACTAGCAGAACAGGGTAGTGAAGGGATGCTATAGATACAGTTTACCTAGATTTTATCAAATATTTTGTTATTAGAGTATCTCATACTATTCTAAGAGAATAGATGGGAGGATATGAATTAGATGATAATTCAGACTCAAAGAACAGTCATTAAAGGGTCAACATGGAACATGGCAGGTCTTCAGCGTAGTGTCCCTCAGATCTGTGTCTATTTGTGTGCTGTGTTAAGACTTTTATCAATGGCTTGGATAAAGATGGCACGCTCATCAAATTTTGGGGAGACATAAACATGAGGGGGACAGTTAACATACCAGATGACATAATCCAAAAAGATCTGGACATACTAGAGACCTGCATTCAGATTAAACCCTAGAATCAGATTAAATCTGACAGGGATAGAGGTGAAGTCTTGAGTTTGTGAATTTGATCTTTTGAACTTCTGTAAAGGATGGTGAAGATGTTATTGTTAGATAAGCTGACTGAAAAATATCTAGGGGTTGAGTAGACTAAAAGCTCAATGTCAGTCATCTATGGGATCAGTTGTGGGCCGGGAGAGCGTGCCAGAATAAGGAGGTGACAAATTCTCTGGATTCTACCTTGGTGAGACAGCATTTGGAGGATTGTGTTTAGTTTTGAATGGTAAATTAATAAATTTAAATAATAATATGTTGATTGATTGATTGATTGATTGATGGTTTTGTGTACCACAATTTTTAAAGGACATTGATAAACTGGATCAAACAGAAGAGCAGCCAGGATAGTAAAGGGCCTTGAGTCAATGAGGCTTGGTGGAAAGGATTAGGAATATTTAGCCCAGGAAAGAGAAGACTTTTGGGGCTTGGGAGGGGCAAGTGGAAGGTGGCATGAAAAAAGTATTTGGAGGGCGTCTGTCATTCAGTTCAGTAAACCTATGCACCAGGCACTGTTGTTGTTCATCCTTTGTTCTCAGAGAGGACCAATGACATCTAGGTGGCACCATGAATAGAGTGCTGGGTCTGGAGTCAGGAAGATTCATCTTCCTGAGTTCAAATCTAGCCTCAGACACATAGTGATTCATTTCACAAATTCGAATCCTTTTAAAGGGTGATGTGTCTCATTATGTGACCCTGGGCAATTCACTTAACCTTATTTGCTCAGTTTTCTTATCTGTAAAGTGAGCTGGAGAAGGAAATGGCGAACCAACCAAGTATCTTTGCCAAGAAAACACCCAATGGGGTCACAAAGAGTCGGACACAACTGAAACCACTGAAGGACAATCACGTGTCTCTCATGCAGGAAAGAGATGAGACCTATTCCTTTTTGGCCGGAGAGGGCAAAACTAGAAATAACAGGCAGACATTGCAAAGAGGCTAATTTGGGCTTGATGTCAACCTTGTTGATTCCCAACAATTGGAGTTGTCCAAAGGTGAAATGGGCTGTGGTGGGAGGTGGTGGGTTCACCTCCTTGGAACTCTTTGAGCTAAGGTTGGAACAACTGACTACTGAGTGTGTTGCACTGTGGGATCTTTTTAGGAATGAGTTGAAATAGGTGGCTTCCAAAATCTCTCCCCTCTAAATTCTATAGTTTTGCCTTTTCTGTTGGTCTTGACAGGTGTTTGTGTTTGATGTTGGAGGAAAAGCCTGGAAGTTGTATGACTGGTCTCAGATCACAACAGTGGCGGCTTTTGGAAAGTATGACCCTGAACTTTTGTGTTTTGCCCATTCAGAAGGATCCAGGGTGGTGCTAAAAGGTTAGTGACTTATCTTATAGGGACTTCAGGGTAGAATCCATAGAAAGACTGCAAGAATTCAACCTTTGTATAACTTTAAATTTTTTTCTCCTTATGTCTTTATAGTCCTGTCACATTTCTAGGTTTTCTTTCTTTATTCTCACCATCTGATGTTTTCAATAATTACAAAAATTCTCCTAGGATACTGTCTGATTCATTTCACAAATGTGAATCCTTTTAAAGGGTTGTGTAACTCATTATGTGATCCTGAGCACTGTGACTGTATCTAATTAATATAACAACCTTTGTCTAGGCTCTTAGCT